TTGGGGTCTTCTAGAGTCAACCTGAAGTGAGAGTGGTTCCTGACATGGCAGAAAGACATAGATATAACTAACAGCTTTTATTTATTTATTTTTCAGCTAATAACAACTTTTATTTATTTGTTTTTCATATTTTTCAGTTATACACAGCTTTAAAATATTTATTTTTCAAGTATTAAGAACTTTTATTTTCAGCTTTTATTTTGAAAAGCAACACCCAGTTGTTGTACACGTGCACAGCCAGTGAGAGCTGCTGGAGCCGAGTGGAGGCTCACTTTACCTCAGTGTGTTACCTGCATGGGAACTCCCCACCATGTTTTCACATGAGCTAAACTTCTAAAGCACGACAACAACGAGAGAACGGTCGAAACTATCGTGACCTACAATAAACGTACTTCAATAATATGCATAAGTGAAAACATAACATACTTTATAAGTACAATAAATCCTATTTCTTTGTCAAACATCGCAAAGAAACGTTACCTCATCAATAATCCTCGTGACTTTGAGGGTTACCCATAGCCAATCAGTGTTCGCCGCCCACAAATGCCTATTAAATACTGTTAGCCAATCAGTGTTTGCCGCCCACAAACGCCTATTCGCCAGAAACACCCACTTTTCGTCTGCAGAGAACCCCTTCTTGCAAGATGCTTTGAGAACAGCACACATTTTGGTTTTCACAGAGTTTGTTTCCTCAGTTTTTATGGTGGTAATTTGTTTTTACTCTAGATTGTGCATAATGATCAGATGACTTGCAAAACTTTGTTACTTGTATGATAGCAACCAATCTAGCATTTATCGAATAATCAAGAACTTCAAGGGGAGTGGTTTAATTGCAGTGAAGAAGACTTCAGGGCACCCAAGAAAATCAAGCGTCAGGACTAGGGCATTAACAGAGTACTCGAGTAATCTACACATCAATTGCTAGGACATCTATCGATGTTAAAAATGTAAAGTCAGGTATCCGTAGTGAAGTCATATTGTGTGACCACCGTATGACTGTAGGGGGCGGTGTTGCGCTGTTGCAGGTCACAGAGTATGGTGTATCACCGGGTCCTATCCACCGAACCAGAACCAGTTTCGGTTTAAGTTTCGTTTTTGACGTGCTGCGTTTCTTCTCGTTTGCAGTTTAATAATAATAACTAATAGTTTAGTTTTTCCTGTGACTTATTTGCAGTATGATAAATGGCAGGAGCATAACATACGCTCCCAATGTTTTGTTGGTCTTTTTTTTTTTGTAAATACCGTTTTTTGCGGTTTTATTTATTTATTTATTTTTGTATCTTGAGATCTATGACGTCATCAAATACTCGAGTTCTACTCGGGTTTTATTATGTTAATGTCGAGTTTAAAAATTATATACTCGTTCAACCCCTAGTCAGGACCTTCTCCTAAAGAGTTCAAGTTCAACAGGATGCATAAATAGGATGCAGCTATGAGATTGGGTCACCACCAGTAGATGATCAGCTGATGATCAGCTACTTACATTGCAGAAAGTACAAGGCAGGCTTTAAGCTTCACCAGCCACCCATTGTGTTTTTACGGTGCTCGAGGCATTGTCTCCATGCAGGCAAGTGGGCAGGTCCACAGGTACGTCAGGCAAGAAAGGACAACACCCAGTGCTCATTGTGGTCAAAATAGGTGAGCTTGGTGGCAGATAATCAAAGATCTAAAAGTGACTGACGTCCATACACCAGTATCAATTTGATGTCAGTGATGAGATGTGATCATGTGACTATTTTGACTCAGTGATTTTATAATGCAATTCTAAATTGTCTCTAGGTGTGTGAGAGAGAGTGAATGGTTGTTTGTCTCTGTGTGGCCCTGTGATGGACTTGCGACCCGTCCAGGGTGTACCCCGCCCCTCGCACAGTGATTGCTGGACATGGGCACCGGCGACCCCTGTGACCCAAAATGGAATAAGCGGGTAAAGATGTATGTATGTATGTATGTTTTATTTATTCATTGCATTTCATCCAAAAAGATAAATATAAAAAAAGATAAAGATAATGGATGGATGAATGGATTTTATAATGCAATGCTATTTAATAAAAATTTCTATAATGCAGCCGACTACTAATTATATAACAAAAACTTGAGAAAAAGCAAACTTTTATTTTATCAGTTCTTTTTATTTTCATCTGGGCCATCACTAGTTCCTCCTCAGTGAGTTTCTGCACCCCCAGTCATTTTGCCATGCCAACTCCCACTTGTTCCCAGTCTCGTCTAGCCCAGGTGTTTCCACTTGCTCACCAGTCCCCATCTATACATTCAGTGTGTTTTCTCTCACAAGCAGAGCATTATTGGCTTTCATAAGTCTGGTCTTTCTCATGTTCCCTTAGTGATTCCTTGCAATCGTGTCTGTTTTATTAAGTGTTTTGTCTGCTGCATGAGCATTTTTTTAAATAAAATTTATTTTACTTCTCAAGCTCCTTCATGTTCAGTCTGCATCCTTGGGTTCAAACCTCCTACTAATGATGACAAGTGTTTTTTAAACAGATATGAAACAAAAATATATGTAATAAATGATGGAGCTTGGCTGCAGGAAGACAATGGAGGGAAGCTAAAACTGGAGAAAAATTTTCCTCCAACTTTCATCAGAACTCATAAAGAGTATTACGGCTGTTTTTAGATGGACAGAAAAGCTATTTATCAGAAAAAATGTAAACAGGTTTAAACTTTGTTTTACATTAACTGATCTCCTACAATGTATAGTCTGCAGTTACCTGATTTATCTTCTGTAGACTTTTTCCCTTATTTGTTCTTGTCATAATTCTGATCATGCAAATTATTGAACATTTTCTTCTTAAATCCAGTCTATTGAAATGTGGTTTTTTTTTTAATATTTGTTTTCTTAAAGAAGGTGCTTGTGTTCCACATTTCTATCAGTACTTTCATGTGACATTATGCTCATTTGTGTCTAATCATTATATCCTGCCTGCTTTGCAGACATCATCTGCTTGACTCCTTCTCGTACTATCAACACAGTAATAACATTTTTTTCCATACTTGTTAAATATCACTTAGGTTTTAAAGAAGCTATTGTTATTGTATATGTTTGAATATTTGATCAGATTCAGGTAATCACCTTTGTTCTACCTCATTTACATTAGCTTTGAAAGTATAATAAAGAACGAGATCTTTTTTTTAATGTGAAGGTTCAGCCATTTGAGTGAGATGTCAAGGTGCACCATTTATTCACATCTTTATACAGAGCAAAGATATAAAATAAAGGAATTAATAATAATATAAAATAGATGTGTTCTTATTCTCTATAATTTGTTTTAAGGAATTTTAGCAAACCTTTCCTTTATTAATGTTTGATATGTTAATTTTATTATGGAGCAAAGCATAGCTGCAAATTATACCAGTTTCTTCACCCTTTAAGCAAGACAGATATATTATTTTTATTCTTCACAATGGTTCCTGGACCATGAATAGTATTTATTTGAAACAAACTAAAGGATTGAGAAAGTTTTAAATAAACTTTAAAGAAAATATTTTCTTGGGACTAGGCAGCACAGTGCAGAAAGAAAATCAAAAATGGATTTCATAGATGCAAAACACTTGAAATTTCACACATCAAGCCCTTTAAAAGGATGATAAATGTCAACTTAACTGTTTCTTTTCTACTTTTAAAGGTTCATTAGTCTAAACAGTGCAATTGCTAAGTGTGAATACATCTTGCTGCTCACTAACTCAAAATGTAATACACTTTTCTCAAACTGAATTCAGTTTGAGAAAAGTGTATTACATTTTGAGTTCAAGCCAGTATGCAGATACTATCACTACAACTTTTGTTACAATATTTCCAATAACATTACTGGCATTTGTCCAAGGTAAAATGTGGAGAATGATATCCTTCAGTAATTGCTAGGTTTTGTTAACGATACAAAAATAACAGAAACGTACCATTTACTCATAGTGCGTGACAGAGAAACAGCTCAGCTGCTTAACATTTAAAAGCATCATTTATAGGTTACTGTGATGGCCATCTTGAAATGGGTTGACTCCAAACAATGTTAGTGACTCAAAAATATTTATCAGTTTTTAAAAGCACACTTTATGATTACTTTATGAATTCCACTGGTGATGTCCATGAGATATTTCACTAAAAACACACCATTACCACCAAGATTAATAGCAAAGTTAAAAAAATACAATAAAATTGTGTGATCTGTTAGCACTCAGAATATGTGTTGGCAATCAATGTATCCGTCACCATACCAAATATTAATTCTATATATGTGATGTTAACTGAGTTATAGCTAGTTTTGTGTTCGCCTAGTTTGATTTGCTGTATCAAACATAATTATCAACTTTGATGATGAGCGATAACAAACAAAACCAAATCATCAGAGAAGTCAAACTACAAATAGCAAGGATGTTTAGAATAATTTACACTTCTACAAAAAGTACAATGACCATAAACTGTCATTGGATCTGAGCTTGATTTAGCTAGCTTTAAGCAGGTGAATTATAGCCAAACTGTGAGGAATGTGCCCTCTTGTGGTGTGTCTCATTCCTGCTCCTCAATTATTCCCCTCACATATCAGTTTCCTCCTTTGCCACCTGTTGTGGGTGTTCCAGGTGTTGGCACTTTGTCTCCTTAAGTGTTTGTGCATTTAAACCAGAGTCTTTGTGTTTCTCTGTGTCTTGGCATTGTACCCTGTGACCTGTCCTGTCTCCTTCTGTGCCCCTCGTGTTCCTAGAGATCCCATACAGTACAAGATACATATAGAGCCGTACCAAGCCTCCACCTTGGCCTTTCTGATCATATTTCCATCTTTATTGCCCTTGTCTACCACCCACCATTGAGACATTCTTGATCCACACAGAAGATCAACACTGTATTGCCCAGTGACAGTGACTCTCTATTGTAGGACTGTTTTGCATCTAAAGACTGGCAGTTATTCAGGGAGGCCGCTGATGTCCTCAGATATATCAGCAAGTGTGTAGAAGATGTCATCACCACCAGGACTGTGATGTGTTCTCTGACCTAGAAACCCTGGCTGAACACAGAGGTCCATACCCTGCTGAAAGCCAGGGATGCTGTCTTCAGGTATGGCGACTCACAGGAACTGTGGAGGGCAAGGAAAGAGCTGGCTGCTGGTATTAAGGGGGCCAAAGCCACATATGCATGGAAGATCAAGGGACACTCCTCACAGGACCCAAGGAGCATGTGTAAGGGCATTCAGTGCATCACAGACTATGAAAGCAAAGGTTCACAATGCCCTAGGGACCCATTACTAGCTGCAACTCTAAACAGGTTCTATGCTTGCTTTGAAAACGCAAATAGACCACCTAGCACCAGACTCACTTCACCACTGAAGAGAAGTTCCTCAGCATGACCTCAGCAGAAGTAAGGAGGACCTTCTGGATGATTAATCCTCACAAAGATACTTGCCCAGGCAACATCCCAGGGAGGGTGCTGAGCGACTGTGCCGATCAGTTCTGTGAGGTGCTGATAGATGTCTTCAAATCCTCACTCACCCTGGCAAGAGTTCCTACCTGCCTAAAGACCGCCAATATCATCCCAGTTCCCAAGAGCTCTGCAATGACTGGACTGAATGACTACTGGCCAGTAGCCCTCACCCCAATAGCCGCTAAATGCTTTGAAAGACTGGTCATGGCCCACATCGAAGCTACCATCGACATCAGTGAGGACCCAAACCAGTATGCATACCGCAAGAATAGATCAACAGAGGACACAATCTTCTCTATGGTCCACACTGCTCTTACCCACTTTGAGCAGAATGACTCCTACATCCATACCAATTCAACACTTGCTCTTATCAAAGGCAGATGTCTTCTCCTCCTCTCCCTCTCCACTTTGCTTTTGCACAGTCCTACACCAACTATGAAACTGTCTGTGAAACTGCTTAGAGCCTCTCTTCTACAAATCTTCCAAATAATAATTATGGACTTGGATTTGGTCAGTTGGTCCCTCAACACAATTGATAACATTTCTTCGAAGAGAAGACAGGCTTTAGGTGAGCTGATTTGCCCTGTTGGTACGCATGCAACTGGATATCTCACCGACCTGGAAGACTGGATGGCATGTCTATCTCTGCTGTCATTTGTAAATTTTAAGGACAGATATATAATTGGATTTATGATAGATGGTTCCTGCTTTTTGGATTTGTCTGGTTCCTAGTTTATCTACAGTCAAGGAAGTCATAGGCGGCAAATTTGGACCCAGTCAGGCTGCTTGCCTTATGATGGTTTGGTTCGTGCCTCGAACACCCAGACTCAAAGGCTTTTGGCAGAATGGATAAGATCTTGGGGATTATTCTCAGGCACGGTCCATTGGTGTGGCCATGTAATTTGGACATTTTGGAACCGAGTGGACCAACACAGACTCAAGGTAGATGTCATTAAAGTTCTACCTGTTCCCAAAACAACTGTGTTTATCTGAATTCGGCTGCCTGACTGGCCTTGACAGGCCATCTTATCAGAGAGTCAGAGTCAGAGATTCTTTATTGTCATTCGCACCTCCTGTGGCACATGTGGTGGAGCGAAATTATGTACACAAGGTCCCAGTTACATCCAACAATAAAATGTATAAGAAAAACAGTACTAACATCTAAGATATGAACTAAGAAAAACATCAACTAAGCATACACTAAGCACTCATAAGATAAAACGTTGAACATCAGCACAAACATGAACATGAGTCTGTGAGCGGATGTGCACGCATGAACACATCAACATTGAAACAGATCAGCAGCAACATGAAACAGATCAGCAGCAACATGATATGGTTTTTCACAGTGATTATTCTAGTTAGAGATTCATGAGTCTAACAGCCTCAGGGTAGAAGCTGTTCCTCAGTCTAGTTGTTCTACACTTAATGCTCCTTAACCTCCTTCCTGAGGGGAGTGGGGCAAAAAGTGTGTGTGCTGGGTGAGTGGGGTCCTTCATGATGCAGGTGGCCCTCTTCCTGCATCTGGAGGTGTAAATGTCTGTGATGGTGGGGAGGCTGATTCTGACAGACTTCTGTGCAGCCTTCACCACTCTCTGCAAAGCTTTTCTTTATGCATCTCAACCCGCCTGGGAGTTTTGTAAATCTGAAGCTCTGCCCCTCCATCCCCTCCTACTGAGAAATTTCCATGGAATTTCGAGAGGGGCCCAGCTGAATAAACATTCTGACATCATTTTAGGACTCTTTGGATTTGTCAATGGCCATCCTTGGCACCCCACGAGTGTATCCAGATCTCTCTAGAGGGAAATACTTGAACTGAGTGATTTTATCTGAACACTGCAGTGCCTCTATTGCCCCTTTTCCACTGTCATGGCGTGGGTCGGATATTTCCGGCTTGACGCGCGTTTGAGGTCTTTCCACTGTTCCTGTGACCGGCTCGCCTCGCTAAATTCTGGCCCGGCTTCTCAAGGGGTCCAAGCGAGCCGCGCCGTGACATCAGAAACACTGTCGGTCACTGATTGGTCGGGGGGAGGAGTCTGTGGAGTCTTTCCAAACAACCCGATCCACCATTTTTTTCTCTACCGCTTGCCATTAGCGATAACTCGAGGAGCGTATCTTTTAGTATTTTGAAGCTATATAAAAACAATAATATCAAAACCGTAGTCAAATGCAGAAGTGCAGGTGTTGTTGTGCTTGGTGGCCGACGAAAAAAGCCAAAGCGAACTAGATGGAGGATTGGAGGGTGGTTTGGACACGGCCACTGCTCTACTTGAATCATTTATAGAAGATGGTGAGTGTTTTCTAACTTTAAACATATTTTAAGTTACTCATCCCATCGGTTCTGAACATATTTTTAACTAACAAAAGAGGCTGACGCCATAATAGGACAACGTCGGTGCTACGATGCTAAGCTAATTTGCATAAATGCTAACTGTCCTCCGGTCCCGTTTCTCACTGTATTTTATCCAGAACGTCTTTCAGCGCGTGACAGTTCATCTCTAAACTCCACATTAAACCCTCCAAGCCTCCCGGCTCCTGCTCCTGCTCCATCATAGGAGTCTGCACCTGACAGAGCTCCATCACAGCCCAGCTGCACCTCACAGAGCAGCACAATGCTGCAGCTTCTGTGATTGGTAAGAACAGATGCAGCATGTTCCACATCACTTTATTTGTGCCGATAAGGACTTGATTTATTTTATTTTTAAAGTAAAAAAAATAAATGTTGAATAAATACTGAATTGGGATGAAATTATGTACTTTTGTACACAGGATCCCAGTTACAGACAACAAAATGTAAAAGAAAAACAGTAATAAGATCTAAGATATGAATTAAGAAAAATATCAACTAAAAAACATCTACTAATAAAACACTAAGAACTAATAGCAGTAAACAATCAAAACGATATGTGAAACAGCAACATGAACTAGAGTTTGTGCAGCCTTATGAATATCTAACACTGTGAAGAATCACATCATGTTGCTGCTGATCAGTTTCATGTTGCTGCTGATCAGTTTCATGTTGCTGCTGATCAGTTTCATGTTGCTGTGTTCATGCATGCTCGTCTGTTCACACAGACTCATGTCCGTGCTGCTGTTCGGCGTATTGTGTTTAATGTTTTTATGCTATTAGTGCTTATCATATTTTTAGTTGATGTTTTTCTTAGTTCATATCTTAGATCTTATTACTGTTTTTCTTTTATGTTTTATTGTTGGATGTAACTGGGACCCTGTGAACATAATTTTGATCCACCACATGTACCACATGTGGTGCAAATGACAAAGAATATCTGCATCTGTATAATACTTTCTGATTCATATATCCATTATTATCATTTTCATTATTTTTAAATCAATTTATTTATCATTTTCTTATTTGATCAGTTTATTATTATTAATATAGCTTTTATAGCTGTTAGCAGCACCTTTCTTTGTTTTATGCATTTATTCAAAAACAGTATATCTTGAATTAACCACCTTTTTCTTATTTCTAGTGAAGAGAAAGAGAAAAGAGTCCAGTAAAGAAAAGTCTTATTTCATCACTGAATGAACATGAAGAACTGAAGCGGACACAGCAGGAACAACACGTGCGTCTTCTTCTGGATGAAGCCCGTGAGACAAGGGACACACAGATACACAATCATTAGTTGGAGGCAGTAGTTTTTATTTTTGTACATTTTTCACTTCTTACTTTTCCTATTAAACAAGTTTTTTCTTAAGTGGTGTCCTTGAACATTAAATTTCCTAAACAAATTTTACAATGTTAAGTTCATATAGTTTTTGTTTAAATTCATACTGGAAGTTGAGAAGAATTTCCAATTGCATTTGATCTTTAATGGATCCTAAGAAAAGATTACTAGAATCTGCTCAACTGTTATTATGTTATAAATGTTTTGGTTCTAGGATGAAGTGACACAAAAACAGTCAAAAATTCAGAAAAGACAGTTATCGGTTATCATTTATCAGTTATCGGCCGTACAACTCTGGCCCCTGAGAGTTTCAGCTGAAAGTCCTGGTGCACCTTTTATTTGAACCTGCAGAGATTTGAACAGCTGATCTGAAGCAAACAGGCAGGAGTTCACATGAACTGACCACTCCTGCTGTGTTTGATGGCCTCCTCCTTCGCCATCCGTCCGTCCATCCATCCATCCATCCATCCATCCATCCATCCATCCATCCATCCATCCATCCATCCATCCATCTTCTGCTTCAGGGTTGTGGGAGCAGCATCTTCACCAGGGAGGCACAGACATCAACAGCCACCTCTTCAACTCTTCTAGGACCCCATGGTGTTCACAAACCAACTGACTATTTATTAAGTAATATCCTGATGCTGCTCAATAATCCAGGTAGAAAAATCTAAAAAGTCAAGTCTGGTCCTCTGGACATTCACAAAACAAACAATACAGTTTATAATAAATAAACTAAATGTTTTTTGTTTGTTTTGTTTTTTGAATGTCCAGAGGACCAGACTTAACTTTTTTAGATTAATACGTAATAAATTTATGTTTTTAAATTTAATGAAAGACAAATCTTTAAAATTCAAGGACAAAATTTAACCTAATTGTTTTCAAGTCTGTATCTTATTGTAAAATCAGTTTCAAAGATTACAGCACAGTGGGATGTTTTGCAATTTTAACATGAACCTTGTGCATATCTGCAAATAATAAAAGTGAAGATATTTTTAATACATCTTTATTGTAAAAATCTATACTAAAATGAAAAACACATGGATTTAAAGCAGGCAGGGAAAGCAGTAAGGTAGGATTATGAATCAGGTTTAAAAGTTACAGCTCATGAGGTACTCCATCAGAGCATGACATCTTTTCCACAACATCTTGTGACAAAGTCTTCAGGGTGTTCTTCTAATACGTTTAGTGGTGGCTAGTAAGCAGCTTAAGGGAGCACTACCGCCACCAGGTGGTAAGACGAGTTGGATTCTAGTCCCCGCCTACAGAGCCGGTCCAGAAATGTACATGGAAACGCAACAGACCCGAACCGATCTGAACCAACCCGAACTGATCTGATCCGCACTGTGACAGTGGAAAAGGGGCATATGTGTTGTCTCTGGACATGCTCACCGCCCTTGCCCCCCCCCCCCCCCCCCTCCAATACACACACACACACCTGCATAATGTCGGTGTCATTATGTCCTTGTGTGCAAGACTTTTTTCAATATCACGCTGTTGACCTTTTCAACCAGAAGTTAAAAGCGTGTTAGGAATTTTTTTTTTTTAATCTCCAAACCCTGTTATTTTTCACCACTTTTTATTGTCTGTCCAAACATGTCTCACTTGTAAATGAGCCTTTGAGACTCAGTGTGAACTATTTGTTTAAATAAAGGTTGAATGAATGAATATGCTCTTTGTGAACTTCACATCCGCTTTCAACACAGATTCCCCAGACACCGATGGATAAACTACTCACATTAGAACTAAGCCCCTCCTTATGCAACTGGGTCCTGGATTTCTAAACCAACAGGCTGCAGTCTGTGAGGATCCACAACTTCTCTTCCTCCACCATATCCATCAGCACTGGCTCCTCTCGGGGCTGTGTGTTGAGCCCCTTCCTATTCATTCTGCTCACATATGACTGTGCACCTTCCCATCCAGAATGTCATATTGTAAAGTTTGCAGATCATACAGCAGTGGTTGGATGCATCACAAACAATGATGAGTGTAGCTACAGGCAGGAGATGGAACATCTGGAGAGCTGGTGCAATAGAAACAACCCGACATCAATATGAAGAAGATGAAGGAAATTATTGTGGATTTCAGGAGGAGCAAACACACCTACACCCCCCCCACCCCCCCCACCCCCACCCCCAACATAGGAGGATCTGCATCTGCGGTGGAAGAGGTCTCAAGTTACAAGTATTTGGGTGTGCACCTGAACGACAACCTCAGCTGCGGCAACAACACTACCAGTCTGATCAAGAAAGCACATCAGCGACTCAACTTCCTCAGGTGGCTGAGGGGAGCTGGACTTAGAAGCTCAGTCCTCACCTCATTCTACGGGTGTGTAGTGGAGAGCATCCTGTGCTTCAGCATCAACGTGTGGCATGGAGGCTACACAGAAGACTGTTGGAGTCAGCCTCCCACCATCTGTAACGAACCACCTAACGGTTGGACCAAAATCACCACACAAAAAGTCAAAATTAAATTATATTTATTTTCAAGATGAAGTATAGCAGATTGGACCGGTTCTGGTACTGGTTCTGGTTTTGGGTTCTGGTTCTGGTTCAGGATCAGGAATGAGTCTATGAGACAGAGATCGGTTAGTGGTCGTGCAGGAGATGATGGAGAGCAAAAGTCAGAAAGAGGAGGACCACTAACCATCTCAGATGAGCTTGAAGGTTCTGGAGACTGACGAGGTCCAAACTGATCCGGATTGCTGCATGAGAGGCTGAGTCCGGTGAGGGGCTGCAACCGGCCACAGCAACAGGTGGGTGGTGAGTCCGTTGAGCGAAGAGACGTGATCACACAAGCCAGGGTCCAAAACTGGAGAGCAGAAGACAGGAGGTACCGGAGGAGAAGACGAGGAGGCGTTGTCGTGCAGGCGAAGGTCAGGACCGAAAGCAGAAGATGTTTAGCTTGTCACTCTTTTCTTAATCACACAATCAAACTAGCATTAGTTTGGCCAGAAATTAGCCTTGCCAGTCAGAGACTTATTTCAATTCAATTTATTTGACATTTTATGCAAAACATAACAAAATATGTTTCAAGCACATGTGGCATACGTAAAAAAAAAATTAATAAATAAACAGCCAGAAAAGAATGGCCAAATAAAAATGCTGCCTGACTGGTGGAGCAGAGGTTAGAGAAGGTGAGCCTGTGATCGGAAGACCACTGTTTTGACTCCCTGGACCGACAACATCAAAATGTGGGTGGGGAAAGGTGATGAACCCACACCTGCCTCCACTCTTATTTGCCCTAGTCTGGGCCCTTGAGCAAAGCTCCCTCTGGCATCCACTGGATGGTAGCTTTCTACACCAACAAGTTTTTTTCTGATTCATTTAAATCTCAATTTGCAACCAAAGTGTTAGACTACTACAAATACTCATACTTCATTGTGCCTCGGAATCAATGTTTTTAAAGTAAGACGTTGCTGTCCTGATAATCCAGGTAGAAAAATTTAACAAAGTGAGGTCAGGTCCTCTGGGTGGTTTATTTTTGTTGAAGAAACTAAAAGTAACCGCCCAGAGGACCTAACTTAACTTTTCTCTATAAGACATTGCTGATTTCCAGTAATGATTGTCGTCACAATGCAGTGATTTTGTGTAATATCTACTGCAACTATAGCAAAAGTAAAGCATAGTTTACAATTACTTATAAACCATTCAAAGGTTTCCAAATGGTTGCTGTATGTCTAAAGCTTGTGTTTATGGATTGATTTAACATATTGAATGATAAATTAGAAATATCACAAAATTAATGAATGACAGGCTGGGCAGCTCCAATTGGAGAGTTTTATTTCATAACTAATGTGAATAACAGCCTTTTAAAAACACTAATAGCATTGTGTCTTATAAAGTGACAACACATCTATCATTAAACTAGAGTTTGACTGTTTTTGTCACTTCTCAGGTCAAAATATTTTCTTTTTTCTTTCCGATGTGGATATTTTTAACAGATTAAGTATGCATTTAAATTGCCTGCTTGTGTCTGTACCACAACAGCAAATAGTGTGTTTAGTTACTGTATTTGATTTGTACATGTCTCTGTAGAGGTAGTCTAATACATGTTTATGCTACCAAACAATGCTGAGTACAATGAGTTTTGTCTTTCAAATAAATTACAATGTGTCAGCATATGGTGTTGTGCTATTTTCTGGACTTTACCAGATTTAATGAATATGGTGTTTCCATTTTCTTGGTACCTTGTAGTTCTGTGGAACATCATTACTTCAGTTAGCTTCTATTGTTCAAATTGCTCTGAGGTTTCCTAAAGTCTGAAGTGTCAGTCATGAAGCCTAGTAGTATAAATGAGGTCTGGCACCGGGCACCAAAAATCCCAGAGGTGAAAGCAGCACCCCCACCTCTTTGCTACAGATTAATAGAGATTCTCTAGTGCAGATGTGCATTTTATAAACTGACACAATTGAAAATGTCTAGTAAATGTACACACAGGAATTGCTGTGTTTCGAGATGGCTTTGCCTCTTTTTATGCATTTGCCAAGAGGTATGTTTAAACACAAACATCATGCTGCTGTAACTCGTAATTTTGAGATTAAGCTACACTAAGGTTGGATGAACTAAGCTGTGACAAAAGGCCATTGCAGTGTGATGTACCATATTATTACACAAATTTAATCCAACAACTTCTCATTTCATTCTGCTATTGCTTTGCTAATCATTGGCACAAAAATGCAAAAGAAACACACATGCCACACATATTTGATTCATTCAGAATATACCATTTGCCGACAAGATAAAGGTGTATTTTTTTCTACAGACTAAAAATAAATAAATCTGGCATGTGCTGAGCCAAGGTGGAAAGCATCATACCTATTTCAGGTGCCAAAATTATGTGAGGAGAAGGCAAGGGCAAGTCAATCAGTGCTAATCAAAATCAGAGGAAAGTGATTTCTTTGTGGTTTCACGATGGGGCTTTCCTGATCAGACACTAGCATTTTATGGCAGAACTTGAATTTAGTGAGGCCTGTCGGTGCAGCAGAATGTGAATTACTGCTCAATGTTCCTCGACAGTGCTGAGCTGGTGGCTTCATCTGTTCTGACAGGCTCTTGACTGTGTGTGATGATGAGAGACAGCTCCGGGTTGCTGCTCGGCACCGGCCCTTCAGCTGACAATGTGAATTATGGAGACCCAAAGAAGCTAGAGCATGCATCAGCAGACCCTCACTTCTATTAATCCTTCCCTCAAAGGTACTACAGCAGAGACCTCATTCATACCTTGTTGTTGCTTATACTTACTTCAAACACAGGCTGCAGAATAATGGAGGCAACACATTTATATTCTCCACTAACTTTTATACATCTTAGATTTCTCCCCCACCTATAAACTATTCTTCAGTGGATTTGCTGTGCGTAATGAATAAACAATTTTGAAGCTCTAAACCTATGTATTATTTCACAATATGGAAATTTAAGTACATGTTTATCTTTAACATGTTAAGTAGTAAGAGCTGTCACAAAAATGTTTATAGTTGGTGATGGGTATCCACTGAACACGGCATGCAAACTATCCTTTAACGTTCATTTTCACAGTACACTTTTGAAACTTAAGTGATAATAAGTCACTGTAGCAGTTAGGTTGCTGTCCAAAGTAATAGAAGTATTGGAATTATCAGGAATAAATTCAACATCCTCTGACACCACTCTAGACTTTTTTAAAAGCTGATTTTGTGCAATGATTGCACTTCCCTCCACACACACAAAACAAGTTTCTGGTAAAATAAAATAAACAAACCCCAACCCCCCCCCCCCCCCCCCCCCCAAAAAAAAAAAAACTTATTTCCAAATTGAAGAGTTTTTTTTAAGAAATCCATTTATGTACGTTTGTACAGACTGGAAAACCTTGTCACGAATGTTGTGGAAGCAGCCTACCCTATGCTCCAAAGCTTTTTGCCCTTCCCAATCTGTTTTGTGGACTTTTTTTTTTTTACGAAAGCTGAAAATTCATTGTTTTAGACTTTAGGTAGCACTCTATTTTATCTGACTGTAATTAGTTTTCTTTTCTTTTTATAATTTAACACAGTGTATTATGTCTCTATCTTGCTTGATGTAAGGTCTGTAAGGATGGCGCCATCTATGGGCCTTCCTTGTATGTACTCCCTTGTGTGTCATCATTTATCCAATTAATTTCACCCTTGTCTCGTGCCAGCTGTTTGTAATCACATCCTGTCTTGTCTGGGTATATAGTCTGTCTGTTAGTCTTGTTCATTGTCACGTCGTCGTTTCGTCTACCCTGTCTTGTCCTGATCTGATGTGTTCCAGTCCTGACCTGAGTTGTTTTCCCAGTTTTGTAAGTGTGCTGTCACGTCAGCTATTTAATTTATTATCATTAAAAGTATTTATTTTTGTATCTTCTGAGTCCGAGTCCCTGCCTGCATCTATTGGGTTCGTTCCTGCCTGATAAACCCTGACAGATCGACGCAACCAACACAGAACCCAGCGGGCAGAGTTCATCTCAGCATCACTCACCTGTCTGTCACAAGCCACAGATGGGGGAGCCTGTAATCCGGTGTGGTGGGTTCAGAACCAAACCCGTCCGAACACGAAGTCACCACTGCCCGGCAATTGAAGTTTTGTCTTCGCCTCTCCTGGTTCTGGAGGAAGAGAGAAGGTCTCTGCCCTGGGGGGAACACAGGGCACCCGAGACAAAATTTTCTCCAGCGCCGCTCGGCTACTCGGGGTGGACGTCAGGGGAGGACGCGGAGCTGGAGGACAAGCTGTCTCATTCCTGCCCCATCTTCCCACCGTCGTCACCGGGGCGGCAGAAGACGAAACCGGAAACAATCCATGAAACCTTCGCCAACATCCCTGACCGCGACTGCAGATCCAATTCGGTCTGGCGAGACTGAGTTTCCGAGACCTGGTTCCAATGCTGTTGAGAGAGCCGATCTGGACGCCTCACCTCCTAGTACTTTGGTGAGGGTGGAATCTGGCACCTCACTCCTGCACCAAGCTCCCACAAGGATCAGTCCTGTCACCCTGCTCTCCACCCCCCGTTCGTCTAAAGACCTGACGAAGGGGGGCCACCCCGGAGAACAGTCTACACAGCGTTTCCACACCATTCCTACAGAGGTCACCAAAGAAAACAAGTCTTGGGTGATAGATGCCTCTGAGATCTATCACATAAACACCAACCTTCAAAACCTGTTGACTTCAGCTAAACATAACCCGGACTGTTCAGACACCCTTCTCAGAGTAGCTGAGAAACTGATAATTTCTGTACCTGGCCTCACCTCTATCCCAACATATCACCAGCTGTTGATTGAGACCAGGTCCATAAGGCAATACACCCCAGAACCTGAAGCCTGTCTAGACCCTGTCTCGGTCCCAGTCCCAGAGCCTGTCTCGGTCCCAGTCCCAGAGCCTGACTCGGTCCCAGAGCCTGACTCAGTCCCAGTCCTAGAGCATGACTCTGTCCCAGTCCCAGAGCCTTCAGAGTCTGCAGCCAGCCCAGAGTCTGCAGCCAGCCCAGTCTGCAGCCAGCCCAGAGTATGCAGCCAGCCCAGAGTCTGCAGCACCCACAGCCTGCTCCAGAGGAGCCAAGCTCCACGTCTCCTGCTCCGAGGGGGTCCAGGCGGACTCCGCTCCTCACGTCTCCTGCTCCGAGGGGGTCCAGACGGACTCCGCTCCTCACGTCTCTTGCTCCGAGGGGGTCCAGGTGGACTCCGCTCCTCACGTCTCCTGCTCCGAGGGGGTCCAGGCGGACTCCGCTCCTGTCTGCTCAGCTGTGGGGGTCCAGGCGGACTCCGCTCCTGCCATCTCAGCCGTGGGGGTCCAGACAGACTCCGCTCTTGCCTGCTCAGCTGTGGGGGTCCAGACGGACTCCGCTCCTGCTCCAGATCCTGCCACCAAAGATCCAGCCGCAGAAGAGCTCCTCGCTGTTGAGTTCCTCGCCGCTGAGTTCCTCGCTGCTGACCCACCTACTGAGGCCCTCACTTCTGGTCCTTCCGTGGAGGGCTTCGCCTCTGTTTCATCTGAGGTCTTCACTCCTGACCCGACCCCAGAAGATCTTGACCCGACCGCAGAAGATCCTGCCGCCGAAGATCCAGCCGCAGAAGAGCTCCTCGCTACGGAGTTTCTCGCCGCTGACCCGCCTGCTGAGGCCCTCACTCCTGGTCCTTCCGCGGAGGTCTTCGCCCCTGGTTCATCTGAGGTCTTCGTTCCTGGCTCGCCTGAGATCTTTGGCCTCGATTCGCCTGAGATCTTTGGCTTTGACCTGCCTGAAGAATGGCCCAATGGACGATCTCTCTGCCGCCTGCTTGACTGGCCCCGGCCTGATGAATGGTGTCCCGGCCTCCTGTCTGTCTGGTTCCTGCTCCAGTCTTATGGATGGCCGCCCGCCCGACCTGCTTCGATCTGATGGTCGCCCTCCTGGCTGCCATCCTACCATACCATACCATACCATACCATACCACTTTATTTATAAAGCACTTAAAACAGCAACAAGGCCAACCAAAGTGCTGTACAGACAAAACAACAGGTAACACACACAGCAAAATACAAAATGAGGTAAATCAGAATATAGACAAAAAACGATGCAGATAATGACGACAAACCAGTGTGGAACATACAAGATCAAAAACACAGATCATCTTGTGTTGAAAGCTATTGAATAGTAGTGAGTTTTTAAACGGGACTTGAAAACCGAGAGGGAGGGGGCCTGTCTGACAAGCAGAGGTAACTCGTTCCAGAGTCTTGATCCTGCTACAGAGACGGCCCTGTCACCTCTGCGCTTAAGACAAGTTCCTGGAACTGTGAGGAGCAACTGGTCCGCTGACCTCAGGGAGCGTGGTGGGACATACGGTTGTAGCAAATCAGAGAGATGGGGGGCGACACTGTTCATTGTTTTGTAGACATACATGAGTAGTTTGAACTGGATTCGAAAGTGAACCGGTAACCAGTGCAGTGAGGCCAAAACTGGTGTAATGTGCTCTCTTTTGCCTGTACTGGTTAAAAATCGGGCTGCTGCATTCTGGACCAGTTGTAGTCATGCAATGGAGGTCTGACTGATACCAAACAGGAGCGAATTGCAGTAATCAAGCCTAGATGTAATGAATGCATGTATTACTGTCTCCAGGTTATTTTTGGACAATATGGGCTTCAGTTTAGACAGCCGCTTCAGTTGGAAGAAGCATGATTTAACAATCATGTTTACATGATTGTTAAGTTTCAGGGAAGGGTCCATTATCACGCCCAGATTAGTGACTCTTTGTTTTTCTGACAGGGTTAGAGCGGAAAGGTCGATGCAGTGGTTTGTGATTGTGTCGTTGGGAGGGAACAACATGACTTCAGACTTCTTTTCATTGAAACTTAAGAAATTTAAAGCCATCCAGTCCCTGATGTCAGCCAGGCAGTTGAGCAGTGGTTGAATAGAGCATGTACCATTGTGTCTTAGGGGGAAGTAAATTTGACAGTCATCTGCATAGAAGTGGAAGGGCATGTTGTGTTTCCGGAAAATAGCACCAAGCGGCAGCAGGTATAAAGAGAATAGGAGGGGACCCAGTATGGACCCCTGTGGAACCCCCCATTTAAGCTCTGCCTCTGCGGAACTAAAATCCTTGATGGAGACACAAAAGGATCTGTCAGTGAGGTTAGATCTGAACCAATTGAGGGCTGATCCTGTGACGCCCACCCACTGCTCCAACCTATCAATGAGGATCTCATGGTCGATGGTGTCAAAGGTGTCTGTGAGGTCCAACAGGACAAGTAGCACAGAATCACCGGTATCTGTGAATCTGAAGATGTCGTTAAAGACCTTCAGCAGGGCAGTTTCAGTGCTGTGGAGAGGTTTAAAGCCAGATTGGAAAAGCTCTAAGATGGCGTGATCCTCCAGGAAGCACTTCAACTGGGACTCGACTTTTTTCTCCAGTACTTTAGAAACAAATGGGAGTTTGGAGACAGGCCGGAAGTTGGAAACGACTGAGGGGTCAAGGTTTGGTTTTTTCAGGAGAGGCTGGACAGCAGCATGTTTAAAGGATTTTGTCACCATGCCAGTGGATAAACTACTGTTTACTATGGCAAGAATGGACGGACCTAGAGTAGGAAAAACCTCCTTTAGTAGTCGAGGGGGGACCACATCAAAGGGGGAACCAGAAGGTTTCAAGCTGCACATGACCTGCTCTAGAGAAGATAGAGTGATGGGTTCAAAATGGTCAAAAGGAGCTACAGATTGAGGTGGGATGGATGGGTCATGAGTTGGAGGGGAAATGAGAGCCCTGGTGGTCACATTTTTTTTCCACAAAGAAATGTAGGAAGTTGTCGCACAGCTCAGTCGAGGCTTCCAGAAGTGATGGTTCAGTGAGGTGGAGAACAGAGTTTAGGGTGGAGGAGAGGACACGTGGGTTGTGAGAGTTTGAGGTAATTATATCAGAGAAGAATTTTGATTTAGCAGCTTTTACTGTTTTCTGATAACAGCACCAACTCTCTTTAAGTATCTGGAAAGAGACCTGCAGCCTTTCTTTCCGCCACTTTTGTTCTGCCCTCCTACATTGCTGCCTAGTGGCCTTGATGACGTCACTCAGCCAAGGTTCTGCTCTGAGTTTTGATTTTTTGGTTTTAACAGGTGCAACATGATCCAGATTCTTTAAGCAGACAGAGTTGAACTTGGATGTCAGCTCCTCAGTGGTGGTGAGAAACACTGGGGGCTGAATGATCATTTCAGAGTTATAAACATCTGTGAAACGTGCGGCAGTGAAGTGGTTAATGGTCCGAGTGCGACGTGCAGGAATGCACGACTTAGGAGTTAGATGGGGGAGGGTGAACTCAAACTGGACTGGCATGTGGTCTGAAAAAACATTATCACCAATAACAAGATTATTAACAGTCATATCATGAGTTAAAACAAGGTCCAGTGTATGTCCGCGCTCTTGGGTGGGACCGTTTACATGCTGAGTTAAATTAAATGAGTCCAATAAATCTAAAAAGTCCTTAACCAAGGGCTTCTCAGGACAGCACACGTGCAAATTAAAGTCACCAATAATGAAAAGCTCATATTTTGGTGCGATTTCAGCCAAAAAGTCAGAAAACTCATTTATGAAATCCTTAGACTGAGGTGGACGGTAGACGAGTGCAAATAACGTCGGAGGTGAATGTTTGAGTTCAAAGACGCTCAGCTCAAAGCTGGCACGGGAAACTGGGATGGGCAGTTGTTTACAGTCAAAAGTTAATTTGAATATTGTTAATAATCCACCACCGCGCCGGCCTGATGGCCGCGGGGCGTTCAAACACAGATTGTTCGGTGGCAGTAATTCCGTCAAGGCGCTGGACTCACCCGGAGACATCCAAGTCTCTGTGATGCACAGAAAGTCCAGATCGTGCTCTTGAAAGTAATCCCTGAGAATAAAAGTTTTGTTGGTAACAGATCTTGCGTTGACCAAACACATCGGGATATTGTCCAAAGTAGAGCCAGCAGCGGTGGAGTTAGCGCGCGCTAATGGCCGCAGGTTTTCAATAACATGCCCTCCAGGTTGGTCCGGGCTGCGCAATGGTTGACAACTCCCACTGGTTACCTGGTCCGGGCACGCGGGAAGCTGGAGACCATGACCGCTAGCTGGAGAGGAAGATGCAGTGCGCAGAGCTTTCAGCTTCACCAGCTGACCAGCACGTTTTCCCCGGCATCTGAAGTGAGATCGCCGGGCAGGCAGGTGAGGAGCGCAGCGAAGGTAATCTGGCACGTCTGCCAGCGGGGGGGGGGGGGGGGGGG